TGGAGCACTCTTTTACCGTGAATGCTTCTGTACGCGAACTGGTGGAGCCTGCGGAAAGTAAGGGCATAGACATAGATATCTATTTATTCATCAATAATTGGAAATTGCTATTTTCCACTCTCAAAGAAGAAAGAAAATTACATGATTTATCGGGAAAAAAAAGAAACTAGGTATTACATGTCTATTGTTAAAAAGACAAATTCCAGAATTGCGAAATTGAGAATTTAGAAGCCTTCCAATGCGAAGTGCGACGCTATCACTGTTCATTCGTATAATAAATAATTGCTTATTATAGTTATTAGGCTTGTCTTATTCTGTAACTCAAACTTGATTAACAATTTAGCTCAGCCAAAAAATTAATTAAATAGGCCTGTCAGATAAAATGCCTTATAAGCATATTTATAATAAGTGTATAAAGTTTAATTAAGATAATACATGTATGCCTAAATGAAGTAAATAAATAAATAAATAATAATAATAAACAATTATACCCCCGAATCAAGGAGCTGACTAGAGACTCTGTCAGGGTCCCGGCATAAAAAATCCAGGTGTTCGCGTTGGGAGTTTTTAAAGGGGTTTTTTATACAACAATAATAGAAATTGACAGTCAAAATAACGTTATATGATATGCAAATATCAATTTAATGTAAATGGATACGTACATACTCAAACGCTTCTTAATTCCATTGTAATCAAAATGTAATTCTACTGGAGTAAAACATTAATAGAAAGTGTTGGGAATGATGTTTCCATTAGATCTGTTTACAGTCAATGGGGAGTTTATTCGAGGAGAAAATATACGCCGCTACACGGCGTGTTTACGAAAGAGGCGTTTATTCCAAATGAGGCTCTAGAAGGGGCGTTTATTCAAAGCGGAGAGTTTACATGGGTACAAATACGGGAATGTAAATACTGTACGGCTCCTCCCAATCCACCCATCATGTTTTCAAAAGCACAGTATGCTGTACTTTTGTACGATGGTGACGGCAAATGATTCGGCAAACTGGGTTGTCATGATTTCGGTGAACTGGATTCGGCAATCATGGGTTTCGGAAAACTGGATTTTGACAAACTGGTCGGATACCGTTTCGGCCCCAGGGCCAGACCAATTCGAGGGTGGACTCTTATATGGTGTTAGAGCTAAACTAATAATTTGTAGGTTTAGCCTGGTAGGGCACTACTGTCCTTGGCAGGAATTTTCCTTCAGATTGGTTGTGCACCTGTCTCATAATATCCAAATTACGGTTGAAGCAAGCGTGTATGTGAACTACCGGAACTGTGTCGTAGACACGTCGTCGCAAAAACATCTTCTAAAATATAATTTTGGAATGGTGTTTCTTTTAAGTAAGAAAATATACATGTGGGTAAGTAGAGAGTGTACCATACTGTAGTTGTACAAGCCTGTTTGCCTTCATGGTGTTAGATTTAATTGCGGTATCCATTGTTGTGTTGTTGTTCAGGCCTACATTTTCAGACTGGGAGACTGTGCTCTAAAATTGTTTTGAGTCCTTTTCATACAATGGCATTAAACCGGAATATCTGAGTTAAAATGTAAACAACAGTAAAAAACAGAGCTCAAGATTTGTTGTGTAATGACATACCGTATAGTATAGGCACATGTTTTTGCAACCTACATTCAACAATGTAAATCTAAGTACTCTTTAAAAGTAGGCTAAGTGAAATCATTTTAATAAATTTAATAAAGTGTAATATTATTTATATAGTGACTTAAAAACGATCCATGGGTCATAAAACTTGCTTTAATTTAAATTTAAAGAATTTAAAATTTAAATGAAATCTTGGTGTATTTATACAGTTTAATATATTTAATATATTTCCTGCATTGTATTCGTTTTTCGATATTTTTATCAGCATTGTTGTTTTTTTCTAAATATCCTATAC